AGCAGGGACTCGGGACCAGAGCGAGAAAAGAAACTGAAAGCAGGAGGCGGCCTCGGCGGAGCTGCCAGGGTCTGGGGTCTGGCGGCAGGGGATTTGGGGAGGGGTGGGACAGCTCTGCCCACGTGGAGGAGAGATTTTGCAGCCAGGCTGTAGGGCCGGACCTGGGCCCCGGGGCCTGCCTGGAGCAGCTGTGCTGACTTTGCAGCCAGAGGCTGCCCCAAGCCAGTCCCTGCTCCCCGGCGCCGGCCGGCCGGCCGGCCATCTCCCCTGCAAGCCTGCTCTCCAGATGGAGCAAAGGGCCTTGAGCTCCCTGGAGGGGATAAGAGAAAGCTCCGGCTTCTCCCCCAAAGTGACGGGCGCCGGAGCCTCAAAGTCAAGTCCGAGCCGAGAGCTAAGGAGGCCGCTTCCGAGAGCCGGAGCCACGGCGAGACCAATCTTCCTCGCTTCTCCTCGCGGGCCTGCTCCTGCAAGCGCGGCCCTTTGCACCGCCAATGCCTGTGTCTTGCGCAGCCGTGGCAAGGAGCGGGCTGCCCCGGCCCCGGCCCCGGCCCCGGCCCTCCAACCGCCCTGGCACTTCTGCGGGTTATTTCTGTTACAGCCCAGGGGTGGGGGCGCTTCGCCTGAGGGAGAGGCTTCGGGGAAGCGCAGCTCATGCTGATAAAGCTTGGTCTAAGGGCAGAGGCCTGCGGGGCTCGGCGGCTAGGGATGCGCGGAGCAGGGCAGGGCAGGGCTGCGCGGTGCCCGGGCCCCACGATGCTGCCTCATCGTCGCGGGCCTTTTCTCGCCCAAGAGCGAGTGTTATCGGGGCATGCCTTCGCCTTGGGGGCGGGCAAGCCGGGCGGCCGCCTGGGGCCACGCGCTGTATCTAAATGCAAACGAGTGACACGGACTATCTGTATTATCCGCACTGCGCGAAGAGACTTTCGTGGCGGCGTCACGGACGGGGCGAAGGGGAATTGCAATCGCAAGTGCCCGACTCGCTTGTAGGTCATCGCAGTGAAGCCCCCAACCTGACCGCTGGCCCCCCTGCCCCCCACCCCCCCGGGCTGGCCAGGGGTGCAGGCTGGGGCGGGCTGAGCAGCTCGGGACAGGGGACCCGACCCGACCCGACCCGACGCGGGCTGGAGACGGTCCTAATGCGAATGAGAATAAAAGGCTGGCTCCCGGCTCGCTCCCAGCGCCCGGCTCGGCGCCCGCACT